GAGTCGCCTCTCATGATAAAATGTGACAGAGGCTCGTCTACGCGTGCATGTATTGCTGTAGTCGGAGAAGATAGCCCTACAGACGGTACTGCAGTAGACTTATTTCTTTGGGTGCAGCAGGTTTACTTAGGCCTTGGCCTATTAGACGTGATATTTTCATACCGCCGTCGTAAGGAAATGTCGCTTGATTGATCTTTCTTAAACATATTAGGCAGATGTCGCTTTTGGCCGCAGCATGTCAGACGGAACTTTCCATAGCCCCACATTTCTCCCCTCTCAGCCCTTTCGCGTGTCGCCTACCGCGATTTCTGCCATCCCTCTCCACTTTGTATTTCAAGCTTATTCTTCTTTGTCAGCTTAACAACTTTGCGTCGTTACCGTCTTTTACCACTTTACCATTTCGCAACCATCTGATGTTGCTGTGCTCTTCTCATGCCAGACACCCCTTCCTCTATATGTACTCGGTGCCAACGACCTTGGAGTTCTGGTATCTCGGGGTCTTACCGGACTTGCTCCGATTGCAGGGCAAAAGATGCTGCTCGCAAGCTTCGGAAGAAGCACTCCCAACTGTCCGGTCCTGGTTCACTGAATGCACAGAATTCCCCTGGACGCCAATTTCCCGGCCAATTTCCCCGCCGATTTTCAACCCATTTCTCAGGTTCAGAAGTTGAACTGCCTCCTGATCAACCCTAATCTCAGTGCACTGAATGCAAGCGACCATGGATATCCGCTGTTCATCGGACATGCCACCATTGCCGCAAAATCCAATCCACCGCTCGCCATCGCAATCGTCTCACTACTTCTTCGACCATAGAAGGCCCCTCAACTTGCTCGACCTGCAGAAGACCATGGACTTCAGCGCTGTTCCGGACATGTGATGATTGTCGAATTCGCCTCGCTACGCGTCGTAGTCAGCCTTCAGCCGCCGACACAGAGCCACGAAGCAGCCTCTGCTTTCGGTGTTCTCGACCTTGGTCCTCATCCGCTTATCGAATGTGTGACGATTGTCGGTTGCGTACTGCAACCCAGCGCCTACAGAACAACCGTGACATCCTTAGCGCTGCCGCGACAACTGAAAACCCACCCGTCGAGGTCACTTTCCTTTCTCCTTTCTTTCGTCGAGCCCTCTACACATACGAAGACACTGTACAGTATGCTGAGTTTTTCTTAGACTCATCCACGAAGAACCAGGTCAACAAGTCCCCGAATTTGTCACAGTCCAGCTTCGGACACTTTGCCTTTGCCGTTACCTCCTCCTGCAAATGAAGAGACGATGCTCTCCAACATTCCAAGCTCTGTGTCGCATACATCTGAACTTGATTATTGGTCGCTTCAGCTGAGGCGTCTTCGCGTGCGACCATTCCGCCAAGCCTGGACCGGCTGCTGCAACTTCTGCTCAGCTGTCCTTTTGTCTACTGAGAAGTCAGGCTGGTGTTGTGTAAACGGTAGTCGAATGGCCTCTAAGCTCCCACCGTACCCACCGCACTTTCAGAGTTGAATTGATACCACGACCTTACCACTATCAGCTATCAGCCGCCGCTTGAATTACCTTTTCGCTTTCTCTGCGATTGGAGCTTCCGAAGGGTTTATCCATTTTGGTATGCCAGCTGACGTCGTCGTCTCAGGTCGGATATATCATCGACTGCTTAACTTATCCAACGGTGATCACAGCCTGCGTTGGTTTCTGTATGACGAAGACGCCCGGTCCCAAAAGGCCGCGAATACGAATGTGCCGTTCGCTGCCGTTCAGCAAGCAAAGCGGTTACTCCAGGCCGTCAATCCATACCTTTCTACAGTTTGCCACGCTTTACAGCAGGTCCCTAGTGACGCAACACCGTTGGCTGTGGAGCTCAAAAATTTTTCTCCAAGTGGTGAAATCGCGGCTGTTATCAACACGCAGAATCTCAGCACTGTCGACTGTCGCAAAGTGGTATTCTACCGCCATGGAGGCCGAGCCCATTTCGTTCATATCCTCTCACGACACTACGAGCCTCTTCAATATCCGTTGTTATTTCCCACGGAGTATTGGGCTGGGGGATCCCTGGACTGGATGAAACCTCTCTCAGGCGTCCAGCTACTGCCGGGGGGGATATGACAGCTCACGAATCCCATGGACTTACACAGCTACAATGGTATCGGGCAGTGCTTCTCGCAGACCCTCGGTTTCTTACCTTTGGTCGTCTCACTTGCGAATATCTGGTCGACATGTATTCAAGAATCGAGGAAACAAATCTTGATTACTTACGACGGGCAAGGTTGATGCAATCCTCAGCGTTGGATCAGACAACCGACAGTGTCTCGCCCGACCTTCTCCGCAATAGGTTGCCAGCAACATTCATTGGTTCCCAGGCATGGGCTTCCGATCAAGTTGCTGATGGTTTGGCCCTGGCACGGCATTTTGGAAAACCAACATTCTTTATCACCATGACGACAAATCCTAGATGGCCCGAGATAGTCACTTCATTGAAAGTCGGACAGCACTTTACTGACATCCCTACAGTTGTTTGTCGTGCTTTCCACATCCGACTCCAACATTTCCAATCCTTCATAAAGACTCACTTTGGCCGCTTGCTATACATGATGACTGTGGTTGAATTCCAAAAACGCGGGCTTCCACACGCACACATGCTCATCAAAGTCGGTTGCCTCCTGGCGTTATTTCGAGCAATCAGTTACTGACCTCACAACTCTCCGCCATAGGTTACTCCGGAACCTTCTATCGACGCTCTTGATAACATCATTTCCGCTGAGCTCCCTCGATCTCCAGCGGATGCTGCACTTCGTGTCTCCATTCTTCGCACTAACCTGCACAGCCACCACCTCCAACAGCTGCCAGGGTCTTACTCTTGATCGAGCTGTCCTTGATCTGCGAGACTCTGTTTTCGCTCATGGACAGCTATACACAAGCCTTTCCCGAGTCCGTCAACAATCCGACCTTCGTGTTCTTCTTCACGAAGACAATGATGCTGCACAGACGACAAACGTTGTTCACCATCGGCTTCTCCTTCTAGAACCAACTTGATACGGTGCCAGTCTACCACGTGATTTACCCCTCTCAATATCAACTGCCTGCCGCGTAAGATGACATCTTCGTGATGTCACGCAAGCACAACCCCGCAGTTTCACAATGCTATTCTGATGCTGTAAACTGTTCTTCGGATATACTAGCCTTCATTCTCCAAACCCCCTTCAGTATGGCAGCGTTTACGCATCCTATTTTGAACACGATGGCGTCCCAGCTACCAAAACTGACCAATATCATTCACATTCGGAATTTCATCGACGACGTTCGTCCTGATAGTATACGCCCGGAAACCCCAAACTACGCAGAAATCCATGCAACTGTGAACGTCTTCCAAGAGGACGACTTTTACGACACCAAGATTGATTCCGATCCGATCCAAACCTGCGTTCGGGTCTACCTGAAACAAAATGAACGAGACTTCTACGTGCCGAATACGTTTTTCTATGCAGATGGTCGATTCATAGTCGAAACGACTCCCGAGGAAAGGCCCAAAATTATCGTGCAGTCTCTCAGCTTACAATGGTACGCATACACCCGTCTTAGGATCATATGAATAACTTGAGAAAGCCATCTGGGGGACGTTTCAGATTTCCATGAGTACCGCAGGCATCTTCCTGAAGAATGGTGCCCGATGATGACCGCCCTCGGTATCGTCGGCGAGCGCAAGCCGACATCAGACCAACCATTCTGTCTCCGGAACTTCGAATTACGTACTTTTGTGTACGACGTCTCCAAGGGGGAACCGATCAATTTTTCTTTAGTCTGCAATTTCGCAAATACCAAACGATGGGAATATATGATGGTTCCCAACACCGCTTCTTTTGTTTGCATTACTGCTAAATTGGTCGGCTGTACTCCGTCCAATCAACTTGCCGTCAGGATCTTGAATTTGACCTTCCTCTCTAAAACAACACCGCCCTCCTAATCCCCTGCAGCTTCTTCTGAGTCACCTGCCACCTGCTACCAAGCGCCAAAGTCGCTGGAGCGGTCGAGCGGAGTCCACCCCATCTAAAAAATCCCATACCTAGCCCACCCTGGATTCTACAGAAGACGTGACTGAGACAATCGACCTTGACCATACTGAGACAATGACAACGACAGCGGCAGCCAGCAAAGCACCTGTAACAAAAATGCCACCACTGTTGGATTCTGGGCAGTCGACAAAAAAGGTGGATCTGGAAGGCGGTCTGAGCGGTACCAATATATCGATTATTGCACTTCGTGACCTCACAAATTGAGAAAAATAGTACAGAGGTGAAACCGTATGGTGTATTGATTTTCTTAGGAATAGGTCGTTAACTTACTCCTTTTACTATTATCCTTACCGTATTACAACTTTGCGGAGCGCGAAGCGCGACGCCCAGCTCTCGTTGATTGATTTATTCCTGCTCGGTTTCAGCCGCTCTTTTGTCAGTAGCTATGCCCGGATAGTGGGTTTGGCCAATAGCCCACGCGCTCCTGGTGTTAATCCGTAGCGCCCCACTTCGCCAATGCAAAACACTGACCAGCTGTCTCCAAACTTCTCACTTTGCTCTCCAATCTCATCTACTCAGACAAAGCTGAGCATCGGGGGGAGACTGCAGGTCAACGGAACCGTCACACGAGGCGTAAGACCTCAACAGAGCCTAGACACATGTGTACAATAGTAGAGAACCGCAAACTACACTTGGTGGCAGCCAGAGGTAGATGAGGTTGGAGGACAAAGCTGAAAATTTGGAGACAGCTGGCCAATATTTTGCATTGGCGAAGTTGGGCGCTGCGGATTAACACCGGGAGCGCGTCGGGTGTTGGCCAAACCCCGTTATCCAGGCGTAGCTGCTGACTAAAGCGGCCGAAACCGAATAGGACTAAATCAAATCAAGTTTGTCAGATCCTGGAACCACTATAAGCAATTGGCCGTCATACTTTCACTGCTTCCCACGGTGACCGAGTCTGTGCTTGCACGCGCTGCCCTCGGCTCGCAGAACTCGTTATTTGCGTCCCGCATGTTTTCGATGGCGACCGGTTCAATGGGGACTAGAAGAATGATGAGTCTCCTTGACGCCATCTGGGCACAGCGCGGTTTTATGTCTCCTAACGAGAGGCGTACATAATGGTCCGCGCATCCTACATCGCTACGAGGCAGGCTATGAGGCAGGCTACGAGGCAGACAGCGCTTGTGCGGCCTGCGTTGGGAGACACGGAGATGGGCTGGCCTCTCCGCACGATGCACCAGCATTCAGGGGCCTGAATCTGGCAGTGATAACATCAAACGCATAGTAGGGTGGAACAATGTCGACTCAAAGGAGAATCATGTCCGGTCTGGCTAATCAAATCGCTGCAGGTACCTTCCGCCCATCCCTCGCACCCTTCAATCGAATTCAACCAAACCGCCCCACTATCCCCTGCGCCTACCGGTTGTACTGCCCAAGGTCAGTGAGATTCGGGAATGTATGAGCGTGTGACTTACGACAACACATTCTTCGCACCGCGCACCATGGACGTTGACCCAGCCAGGGCAGTCGACGCCGTGCTTGTATCTGTTGACGCAGGGGTAACGATCCATCTTCTCGGATTCGTTCGTTTTTCAATGCTGGGATGATTCGTGGGTAAAGGTGTTCAGATGCTCTCTGCTCGAAGGTGAGGCGATGAAGGCTTTTGACTTCGAGAGACCTTGCCCTCGGCTCACTCGTCCTTTATATCTCATTCTTTGCGAGTACCCAGGACATGCCACAGCTTCCTCAAAGGGACACGACCGCAGGAGCCGTTGTCTACATTCCTGAATGAGCCACGGTCTGATCCCAAGGGGCCGCCCATGCCGGCGGCAACGAATGGGGACTTGACGGCATGTCCGCAACTGGTTCCCTCCCTGGTGCAAGAGTGTCTCGACGGCCCGCCAACACGAAGTTCGTCAGGTGCTGTGCTGGCTGTAGCTGCGATGGGCACGATGCGACGCCAATTGCCCCCCCCTTCCCCCTCTTCTCTGCCCCCTCGCCGGCCAATGGCCAGTTTCGCCAAACTCAAGTTATACCGAGGTTGTTTCGTCAGCCCTTAGCCCTGGAAGAACACAGCCTGGCGTTTTCTCGCCAACTCGACTAGGCAACGGCAACAGTTTCCACGCGCGACCCTGATGCGATCCAAACGACAGTCCAGGCCGTGTTACCGTTTGCAGTCGCTTGCGGATTGTTCAGTCATGACGCGGGACGATGACCGACGGGTTTTCGCCGAAGTGTTGGTCTCGGGATGTTGGATCACTTTCAAGCAACCATCTGCACAAGGATGTTGTTCTTTGGCCCAATGTGCAGCACGCAGCGGATGCTTATTGACTCATGCAACAAGCCAGCTGGAGCTTCGCATGGGGACTTCGGTTGCGCCTAGGTCTTGGAACCACCCGAGAACGCATTCGGTCTGTATACAGTCCTCCGGCGCTCATGTCCAACCCTACGGTGGATCATCCATGTTCCCCTCCCGCAGAAGGAAGACGTCGGGCCGTCGCCAGCAGCGTTTCTGCGCAATCCGCGACGTGGGCTCTGTAAATATGGCTCCGTTGTAATTCTGTGCCAATTTAGGAGGTAATGTCGCAAAATCATGATTTCTGATGAGCGACCCGAGGCCGGCATGGGAGCACATCCTCTCTTGGGTTATCAACATCTGCTTAGAGGTGTGAGCGCCCTGCCAATGCGGAAGGGGCTGACGTACCAACCTACTGTCGAGGGTTCCCTGCTGTTCCGTTCGTTGGAGGGCGTGTGATATGCAACCATTTCTAGACGGTCATCAGATGCATCTTGAGAGCCTGGGCGATCTAAGGAGTCTGTTAGCGTCGCGCGCTCCTCATTCGGTCGACGAATTTGCTTGGGTTCTTAGATTGACTTACCAGGGCTATGCGGAAACCAAGGTAAATCGCAGGGGTCCGTCTCTCGCGTTTGATCAGCGGCCACAATGGTCGGCGTACAGGTGCCTACACACACACACACACACAATTTATTACGCCCGGCGGCAAAGCCGAAAGGGCACCTAAGCTGATTACATGTACATTGCTGAGCTTGTGTCCTTGTCTCCTCGAAGCCCATAAGTGATGTTTCCATTTCCTGCTTACTCCACCATGTCTGCCGTCTCGCTTCGGATTCCCGTGGTTTAGATGTATTATTAGCATGCCACCTTGAAGCCTATTCTCCAAGTGTTCAACGTCCTATCTACGGCGG